CTAATTTAATAAAAATAGATCCATCATTTGTGAAGTTCATGAACAGTTTCGATATTTTTTAAATTTTATCTGATGTGCATTCAATAGTAATAGTGTGCTTTGTTATTTTACCTGGATGACAGGGAATACAATAGGCACTGGAAATCTGTTCTGTTCTACTGTTTTTCATTATGGTCAAATTTGACAATTTTTATTGATGGATAGATAACACAACAAGGAGCATAGTATCCCTAGGTTCCTGAGAATATAACATACTCCTCCATTACAAAATCCTTTAAAATGGAAATACCTTTTTTTTTTTTTTTTTCCTGAACTGTGCTATACAAACATATCTTTTCAGTTCTTTCAGCTTGTGATTTCAAGTATTGGAAATGGAACATATATATTTGGGTTTTATGGAATTTTGATTTCATATGGACTGGAAATTCAGGTAAACTTTGCTCTTGATCAGTAGTAGAAGGGATATCTGGGTGATCTATCCCTCTTCATCAAAGAATATGTTATGTGAACTTTGTTCTGTATTTTTTCCAGTCGTTATTGCTTTATAATCTAGAAAAAAGTCTGTTGGGCAGAACATTGGGTAAAACAGAAGAACTGTAAAATATCTCAGGAATGTATAGAGGTGATATCCAGGTGTTATCAACGGATTAAACTGGTGGTATGTGGAAGGGTCTCCTTCTCTTTTAACAGCACCTAGAATTAGCAGGCAGATTTTAGAGCAACTGTGAGGGATTAAGAATAAGCACATAGCTAATGGTGTGAAAAACCAAGTTTGAATGTGTTGTGAAACTAAGGAAGTTCAGAGGAAAAGAAATTCAAATGTGCTAAGTAAGTAATTTGTGTGATTAAGACTTTCAGAATATTAATTCTATTTCATTGGATCACTGTAGAGGGAAAAATAATAATCATTATTGACCTTTTAGAATGCAATATTAGAAAAGCAGACATACTGAGGTCATACTTCCATATTTTATGGTCCCTGTAAGAAAGAGCAATGTTTGAATGTTTGACTGCCTATTTCTTAATGTGGTTTTCTTTTTTTTTTTTTACTATGAGGTTTTTTGTTCCTGTGGGCAATGCTGACAGTAGCCTTTTAATATAGATAGTGGATTTATGTTATGGGCAGCGGGCCATGAATGAGTAGGTAAAGCTGATAAATTTGTTTGGATGTTTTAGTTGGTAATGTGTTTTGTGTAACATCCCTGTGAGCTGAACTACGGCTTTTCAACACAAAAGTTGTAAATGTGTGCCTAATTTGAAAGAATAAATAGTTTGATGAGGGTGTGACATTAAGAAACCAGAAAGCCACATCCAGCAGCAGCTACTGGATGTAAATCAGCCAACTACTGATTTGATGAGTATGTTCATTAAGAAACCAGAAAATTTTAAAGAAAATTTGTCATATTATGTAGAATGAAATACCCATCTTTATGGGTAGCGTTAATGGTAATAGTAATAAACCATTGCTATGACTTTGGCACAAGTTCTGATTTTCTGAAGCAGCATGTATTTCATTTGGATATTTACATGTTTGATAAGAAAATGTAGTCCCTTATGTGGTTCTTCTAGGGCACAATGGTAAAGCTTTACTTTCTTAATTGATACTGCATGTGTTTTCTTCTGAATTAAGTTGAGAAATAGTTATCTACATAGTGAAGTAATTTGAATATTTTACGCTTGGCATGTATTCATTCAGTGTTTTTTTTGTTTCAAAACACATCTTTCTTTATAGATAAGTAACGGGATCCTTCCTTAAATTGTCAGTGAGATTATGTTACTGCTTTCTAGCCAACACTTTTCAGATACTAAGTGTTTTAGTTTGAAGCTGTGTGTTGAAACTGTGGGGTTCACTAGGAATACTTTAATCATAACAAGGGAGCAATTGTTCCTTTTTTTTTTTTTTTTCTTGTGGATTTAACCTTGGAGCAGTTCCAGCTGTGTTAACAAGCCACAGGAAGCTGCAGTGAACATACATATATTTAAAGAAGAAATTCCTTCTCTTACCTAATGCAGAGACAACTAAGCAAGAGCAGCTGCTTATTGAAGTCAGTTTCTTTTTCTCTACATGTGAAATTAATAACCAAGGACAAGACATGAAACTAGTTCATGGCTAGTAGTTGGCTGATTTACATCCAATAGCTGCTGTTGGATGTGGCTTTCACATGTGAGGTTGACTTTGTTTAATAGTGGGAAAGTCATAAAGTATTAATTGCATTTGATGCTTGTGGACATTTCTAGAATCAGAAATCTAATTTAATCTAAATGAAATACAGGCCTTATGTTTCATATGTTACACTTAAAAAGGTCAATTCCCTTCAAGGAACAACAAGTATAAAAACATTATTGCTGATATATATTGAATATTGTTGAAAATGCCCACTACCACTACTACTTCTTCTGCAGAATGGGTATGAAACTTGCAATGTGCAAAGTACTTTGGGAATAACTAGGAGAGCAGTCAGAGTAGTAGACAGCAACTGATAGTACTCATGTTTTTGTATGGAAAGATACTGCTAGTGTCCTTGAACCTGCCATTTTAGGGGCAAAAAGGAGGTTAGTGATTTCTTTTCCCTGCAATAATCTAGAGAGCATCAGACAGTTTTCAGTTAGTACTGAGTGTCAAAAGGCAGAGAGAGGTTTGAGAATTCTCTTTCTGTAGATCTCCGAAAGTAAGTTTTATGTGACTAAGGATACCCATCATCAGTAAGTGTCATGGTTTAACCCCAGCTGGCAACTAAGCACTGCACAGCTGCTTGCTCCCTCCCCTCCAGCGGAATGGAGGGAGAGAGTTGGAAGGGTAAAACTGAGAAAACTTGTGGGTTGAAATAAAAACAGTTTAATCATCATCATCATCATAAACAACAACGACAATAAACTTAATGAAAAAGAAAATAGCAGAGGAAGGTAAATAAAACCCAAGAAAGACAGCTGATGCAAAAGAAAATGCCCGGACAGTTCCCAAGCAGTGCCAGCTCTGCCAGCCTCCCCCCTAGTGTTATTGCTGAGCATGACATCATATGGTATGGTATATCCCTTTGGTCAGGTGGCGTCAGCTGTCCCGTCTGTGTCCCATCTCAACTTCTTGGGCACCCCCAGTCAACTCACCAGTGGGGTGGTGTGAGGAGCAGAAAAGGCCTTGATGCTGTGCAAGCACTGCTGAGCAGTAACAAAAACATCCCTCTATTATCAACACTGTTTCCAGCACAAATCCAAAACTTAGCTTCATACAAGCTACTATTAGGAAAATTGACTCTATCCCAGCCAAAACCAGCACAGTAAGGAAGGTGTTTCTAAACATTTTGCATTATAGTATTAGGAATGCCCACAATACTTCAAAATGCAGCACTGGATTTTGTCTATGGCAATCTGCATTATTCTATTTTGTTTTAGCACCTTGAAAATTCATTGGTGTTGGCTGAAGTCAGGGCCCTCATATCTGCTTCTTCTTGTATTGTTACCCACTCTACTACCTAGAGCTTCAGTATTAAAAGCAGCTCTGTCTTTTTTGGTTTGGTCATCAAAACTTAAAAGAAAATGTGTGTGATTGTGGAATTAAAAGGCATGAAATGCTTTTAGAAATAGTTTTCTTTATATTTTAGCCACTGGAATATAACATTCAAAATAAAACATTTCATTTCAGAGTGTTTCTTACTTCTATTATTTTCAGTAGAGTTAATATAAATGATACCTACATTTAACATGAGGTGTCATTTGAAGGACTTCAGGTTTTTTGCTTTGAACATGTTTTGGCTTTTTTTGTATTCCAAATTACTTTTATTCCTGCTCCATTTTTTCTCCCTTTTTTGGAAAGAGATAGTAAAAGTTGAAATATTCCGCCTTGTTCAAATCTAGTTTGTGATTGTTTTGTTCAGTCCTGAACAATATTTTTTGTCACATGAGTTCTGTGTCCAGAAACTTTCATCCAGCTCTGTTGAGAGCAACACTGCCAGACTAGTGATGGGGTTACTACTTGAATTTCATGTTGAGCATGATGCATTGTGCTCACAGACTGACAAATACTTGGATCGTAAAAAGAATGACTTTTATCTTGTTAACTTAGAATGCTAATGATGACTAAATTTCAAACACTGTCAAACATTTCAAACTTGACCTTTATATGCAAACATCCAGCAAATATGTTGATCCAGAGGGCACCATTCCACGGAAAGGATGTTCCTGGGAAGAAGGCCAAACACTTGAAACAGCGTTTTGGTTGCTTACTCTGAAATTTCAAACGAGTGACAACGAAAGGTCTCTGCTAAATATATTTGTGATCTGAAAAAAAATACCGTTACCCAAATTAAGCTGCATGTTCCTCAAGCTTTTACGATTATATACATTCTATATTTTATAAACTGAGCTTGAACACAAAAGCCTACCATTCAGGCTTTCATTTTTTTGAAGACTTAGGTATTATATAGTAAAGGCATTGGAGCTTCTACAATGAATGTGTTTGTCAGGCTGCAATCTCCTACAAATTCTTCTATGACTCTTTTACACATTTTTAGAATCATAAACACACTGGACACTGTATCAGTATTTAACAATGATAAAATAGGGACACGGCTCTGTGCTTTGCATTCTGTTCTTCTGAGTCTATCAGAGGAAAAACCTGTCCAGATTTGTGCCCTATTGTTGTAGACAACAGTTTTCGTTTGCGATAGTACTGACATTCATCTGTGTGTTCTATCACATCTCATTTAGGTACGTAGCAATGCTTCTGCATTTTCCACACGTTGCAGTCTATGTAATCAGGTAATATTACTATCAGGTAATATTACCACTGCTTGCAATTTCTTTCCTATCTTTTATCCAATTTTGTGCTAATGTCAGTCATTCTGGCTTATGAGTTAAGTAAACTTTTGTCAGATATCTGTTCATATATTTGGATGATTCTGACCACAATAAGGTTTCAGACGTGTTTGGGGTGAATAATGCCCTAATACATACAGTTAGTAATAACAACAAAAAAAATTTAATGTGCCGGTTGTATTTCCTAGGTATAGCATATCTGAGTGGAATGTGCAGTGAAAAACGGAAGTGTATAATTGCAGAGGACAATGGTCTGAATCTCGCTTTTACCATTGCCCATGAAATGGGTCACAAGTAAGTATGTGGATAACACACCCTAGCATTTGTTTGCATGTAATATTACTGTGATTTGGTTAATTTGACTATGTACTTCAGTTTTTCTTTTTTTCTTTTAGGAACGCTTTTAAATTTGATGAAAAATTTGGAAAACAATGGTTTTGTTATTAATAATAATAGTGACATGTATTGACATATAGTATGTAAATCAAGACAATGTTTACAACTTGGAGTAATACAGGAATCTTTCTATCTATCTATCTATCTATCTATCTATCTATCTATCTATATAGCTACACAATAACTAGATTAGCTGGAAGGACTGACATTGGCTAGAGGAAAAGCAGGTGCCCCAGATGTATTTTCTCCTAGGACTGTGGTATTGTATATAAGATCCAACTCTGCCTATTGTTGCCAACAAACATTTTAATGAGATCATAAGTTGGAAGAACACTTATTTAATTTGGCTTTCTCAGGATAGATCCCATTAAAGTGTATAATGGTCATTCGTCGTCTCAACATTAATATTGTTTTTTCCTCCCCTTGGTAGAAAAGGATGACAAAGTGAAGGTGAAGGTAACTATCCTGTAGAATTGAATTGTGTGTTTCTACTCATTTCATGAGGAATATTTTGAAGCAGAAGCGAAAAATTCTCATGTTGTGATAATCAAATTTGTTAGTGAAAGTTCTATTTGATTTGTGGCTGCAGTACCTGTTAAAGAAAAATAAATAGGAGAGTTCTTACTCTAAAATACAATACAATACAATACAATGCAATACAATAAAAGGGTGGTGTTTATTAATCAGTCATCTTTACCTGCAGCGTCTGCTCCAGGTACGATAATACCAGATAGTTTAGAGAAATACAAGTACTGCTTTATACTCTGCAAAATGAAAATATGTTCAGAGAATAAAAAGCTTGGCAGCAGGATTACTGAATTGAAAAAAGGCATCTTGAGCAACAAGAAATGTAACACTTTATGCTTCCTGAGCAATGGTGCTGTATAAAATCCTAGATGCAGAAAACAGGAAGCAGGTATAAAATTATTGCAAAGTTATGGGTTATGTGTTGGTTCTGCAGTAGCAAATTTGAGAAAGTGGGATACTGATTTTATGGAGAAATGTATGTCTTGCAACAGACAAGTCAGACCTATCTCTGACATTCTAAGGGGCTGCTGGATGCCAAACAGTATCCAGAACAAGTTAGACAGGGAAGCTCACTGGTGCTGCTTAGCAGTTCTTCCAAAACTGCTGCATAGGCCAGGCTGTATAACCCTTGTTGCATTCAGTCCTCAACTTGAAATATTTTCATGGCTTTGCATTGCAGTGGGACTGCAGAAGAGATATAGCATGACCTTCCTACAGGGACATAAAAACTAAATTGCTGATATATGAATCCTACGAAAAAATGTTAAAGGCTACACTATGAAATTTCAGAACTTTCAAATCCCTCCGTATTAATTTAAATAAATTTAGAAAAACAAATCATGATGGTATCCCAGCCATCATATTCTCACAGTAATAATGGCATTTGGATGTCCTTAGAGACACTCTCACATTTCTCTGCAGGTACTGTAAGAGACCTTTAAAAACAATGGCAGTAAAGGATAAATCAAATCTGGTTTCATGGTGAAGGACAGGATGTTTGAACCACACATATCTTCAAGAAAGTCAACCTCATGAACTCTAGTAACAGGCCACATAGAAATTAGGAAGACTACCACAAAAGTGAAAGAATAAGTGGCCAGAGATATATGAACAACTGCCACAAAAAAAGTAAAAAATAAGGGGCAGCCTCCACGGCAAAACATGCAGGGGCATTCAGCCTGAACCCTGCTCCGTTATGGAGCCAGTCCTTAACCGTTGCAATCTGAAACGGAGTGGTCTTGCACCAAAGAGAGTAAGGTGATAATTCAGAGACATTTGTTTTCTCTGAATGACTGTCTCTGCCTGCCTAGCCATGGTGATTGCAAAGAAGCATGCTACTAGTAGTTGACCCTTTGTGGAGAGACAGTATGAAAATATTTGAAGTCAAACATTTGAACGTAGATCCCATTGAAGACGACCTCAAGAGATTCACATGTAACAATAGTATTTCTCACAGAGATTTGTCTTGCTTGTTCTGAACTGTCTCAGAAATGGAGAAAAATTATCACCATCTAGACAAATCATAGATCTTTTCCTCTTTAAATACACGATGTTTTCTAGAAAATTTTCACAAACTCTTTCTTTGTCCTGAATTCACTTAACTGTTGCTTTTTTTTTTTTTGTCTAGTATCTTTAACTATTCTAGTTGCTCTTCTTGTGAAGAGAGTCCTATTCAGCAGCACAGGAGAAGGAAAAACTTTCTCAAAGACTTTGCCTCTCAAAATATGAAGAAAAAACCCTTATTTTTCTTGTCTTCTGTACAGCAAACAATATACTTGCCCATAAATTATCACTCAAAGCAGACTCCAAATGTATGTTGATCAGCCTAAGATCAGCCTAACAAGCAAATCCATTCACAATTGCCATTGTTTTGATGAGTATTGAAGTACCTTTGAAAAACAGCTTGCCTTTGGAAGGCTTGTTTTTATACACAAAACTCCATGCTGTTACCTATATATTTGAAATGGAATGGTCTCTGGTAAAATCTCATGATCATTTGCAAACTCAGAATAATTTTGCAGACCTCTGACGTCTCTGACATAATTTGCATAGTGACAGATTTAGGGGACTTTGGGGGGGATGGGGTTTTCTTGCACAGGAGCACAGCTGAAGAAGTACAGTTTTTTATATTAAATACTTCTGATACATGGACATTTATTAAGTGTTGTGTTGTGGTTTTCTTAGTTTTTCCAATTAAAATGGAAATATCCTCAATGAAATACAATGGCAAACAAAACCCTGCTTTTCGATATGAAGTGTCTTTGTTCTAGCCTTGTGTATCTGAAAGCAGATGATCTTTTAGTGACATTGAGAATTAATGTTTTAAGTCAACAGTTGGTTTTTGAGCTCCATCTTGAAATATTAGGAGCCAGTCTGTATAATCAGAGATTAAAAACTGTAATATATTAATGGATTTGGTTTTAATAATCAAATCCTACTTATGAAAATAAATTTAATTATCAATTAGGTAATTATTTAATGAAGACCTATTACAGAATAAAAACTAACAACACTGAATTAAAAGATACTGAATCCATGTGGAGAACAGAGAGAAGAGAGAGAATGATATTATTTTGGTTATCAAGCAACACATCTTCATTTTACTTACATGATTGCTGTCTGTGGGATATGACTCCTTCTTTACATATAGAGAAAAAAAAAGATACATGTAAACTGCAGTATCTCAAAATATATTGATTAACAATTATTATGTGCTCTAAGTGTACTTTAAAAGTTGTTTTAATTAGTTGAAAGAGATACTGATGGAATTTCTCAGAATCAATTTTATACACATCCGCATTCTTTTTCTGATAAGAATTTTGTGAAATATGAAATGCATCTATTTTTAAAATGCAGGATATTCTGCCAAGTATTTTGTAGTTCCAGACAGGAAGTCTGTGGAATTTTTCAATCCACTACTTAATAACTCATTAGCAAACCACATACATTTTTTTGTCATAATTATTTGAAATCCAGTGGAACTTGAAGAGAGCTTTAAATTGGCGATTGGGAAATGCTAGTAAAGCATCAGTTACTCCATGCATTTTTGTTATCACAATCCAAAATATGACAACAGAACACAATAAAATCAACAAGGGTAATAAAAGGAACTGTCTACTAATCTTTGTGAATGAGTGACTAATGTGGAGTAGGGCATCTCATAACTGAAAAAAGAGCTATCATGATATTTCTAACGTTAAAGTAGAATTTTACAATTGAGTCTGTATTCAACAAGGAACAAAATTAGCACATGGAAAGCAAACGTATTGATTAGGTTTGATAGAAGAACTTCTTACACGTTGAAAGTCATGTAATCACAAGTATAACGAGAAACTTCAGGAGCAGTAGTGGTCACTTCCACTGATAAAACTGTGCACAGTAGGATTCATATTAGTAAGGATCATTAAATTGAGGCATTTGAAATGTGGTATTTTGTCTCAGATGTTAAGTCAAAGTATTTGTCAGCATTTATTTTGATCTCTTATCATTCAGCTGTGAGGGAAAGAACAAAGCCTTACTTGATACATGGGTGGATATGAATACAGGCCACCCACTGTTTACATTTTAATGACTTTTCTGTATTGAGAAAGAATCATAGAGAGGTTTTACAGGATAGTGGCACTGTTTTCTGCTTCCAAAATACCTATCTGTGGGGTATATCAAGAATTTTGAGTCTCCTGCCTGTTAGCCCAGCAACTTTCTCAAAGGCTAGCTTCACCAGGAGAGGGTTTTGGGGCTTCATTTGATCATTGACAGCAGCCTTTCTTATGAATGATGAAAGAATCCCTCCCCTTCCAAGTGCTTTCCCCTTTGCTAGGAGAAAGGCAGAGTTTTTAATTCCTGCTTTCTATCTGTAGTGCAATTTTCTGCTCTGAGAAGGCAGCCAAATTAAGTTTTCTGAGTGCTCTGAACTTTTTAGTTGGTCAAGATCTGAACCATAAATGAATTCATATATAATCTCAGGCAGTGGACAACAGTATGAAATTATGAGGTAAGCAATTGTTGAAGTTGAAAACCTGTTTCCTGCAGAAATAAATGCAGGTGTGGTAAGTTGACAAATAGTCTGAAACAAAAGCTGATGGAAGTGCCAAGGAGCTCATACTGTAGGAGGTGGTCTTTTGAGGTTCCTCAACTGCAGAAATGTTTCAGTAAAATAGCATTTCCTTTGCAACTGCCTTCATTAGGAGAGTATTTTTCCCAAGTTTGTCTTACAATCTGTTGCTTAAGCTTTTCATACGAGTGAAAGAGTAAAAATATGAAACTACTAGGTTCAACATGTCTGTATTTTATTTTATTAGTGTTTTCAATGATCTCTTTTTTTTTTTCCCCGGCTTCAGACCTTCTCTTCTATAATATTAGAAATTTTAAGC